TGGATGAATCACAGATTCCAAAATTGCTGCATGCCTTCTCGGATTCCTCAGATTTGACGGGGTGAACAAGTGTAAGAAAGTTCACCTTTTCAATAGCTGTTCTGTGCCTGAGCAGGAGGTGCCAGGCCTTTGTAGCTAGAGAAGGTTCTACTTCTCAATTAAAAGAACTGCCTGTACCTGAGCTTATCTCTCTGGGGTCAAACTGAAAAATGGTGACTACCATAGAGGACTATGGTGAAAGTTAACTAAGTTCATATTTGGGAGCTAGGCAGGTAACTAAGTCTCTAAAGTATTTACCTTACAAGCATGAATATCTGAAGTCAACCTTCCAGAGCTCACATAAGAAAAGCCACGCATGAGCTGGGGCTGTGGTTCAGTGGTTAGAATACTTGCCTCTCATGCATGAGGTTCTAAGTTCAATCCCCAGTACCACCAGGAAAAAAAAAATCCAAGGGTGGTGATGTATGCTTGGAATAGTACTGGAAAGATGGAGACAGGTAGACAGCCAGCCTAGCCTGTTTGGCTGGCTCAGGACAGTGAGAGACTGTCTCAAAAAAAGGGTGGATGGTGTCTGTGAACTGACAACTAGCCTTGTTCTCTAGGACTTTGTGCATACTAGGTAAGTGCTCTACCAACTGCTCCCATATCCCAGTGCACAAATATGAATGTGCACACAATACACATATACATACACATATACACAAGTTCATATCACAATATATGATATACAGTATATAATAGTGCTTGCAATGGCTAAAGATTAGCTAGAAGGTTGGTGGATGGACGGATGGATGGATGGATGGACAGATGGATAGATAGACAGTCATTCATTCATACATAGATGATTATAGATAGATATTAGTGGGATAAATAGATAAACTAGATAGATACATGGGTGCTAGCTGATCCTAGATGCAGATTATGGATAGGACAATTAGAATCAGACATTAGAAATACAAACTCATAGACATGAAAGTTCAGTTTCCCCTCCAGCATATACAGCAGTACATATAACACCTCCCTCACGTGAGCAAAGAGGACATTATGAAATGACGTTATGAATAAGCAATCTAAATCCAGCTTGCTTTCTGCAGAAGAGTCTTCCAGCAATTCATGACCCTAAGCATTCCAGCTGCAGGATTAATAGCCTGGTGCCTGCAGAACATGGCAAAAATCACTACAACCTCAATACAAATTCAATAGAAAACAGCAAGCTGT